CTGGTGGCGGGTCTCCTTCAAATTCCCCATGGCAACAATATTGGAATCTCTCCCCGTGTAGACTTTTCTAACACCTCTGTTTTAATGGAGCCCCTTTTTTTTTTCTTTTTCTGTTTTTCACTTTCTTCCGTAAATTAGAAGGAAGAATCTATTCCATCATGTTAAACTCGGCTTAGTGGATTGGAACCCCAAAAGGATATACATGTTTATTGATGCGCTAAAATCATTTTAATAAATACATTAATCATTTAAAGTAATATAATGATAAGAAGAGTATCAGAATTATGATTAATTAAGTATTAAAAATTAATTAATTAATTTTTGATTTATTTAAATAATAAAAAAGGCTTTAATTAAAAGTAATAAGAAATAATAATTAAAATAAAAATAACTAAGATATGAGATAGCAACTGATCCAATTTTATCATAATCAATTAATATAAATTTTAGATTAATATGCTTATAAAACCAATTAGTTGAGTATTAATTATTACATATGATGATGGGTTCCTCTAAATTAGTTAATTAGTTTTTCAAGTTAAACTAATCCTTCACATGTTTATTACATTAATTATATTTTTATATAATTTAAAACAAATTGGTGAGTGAAATCTCTAGTTTAAGAAAGAGGCTCCTAACTCTTTTATCTTTTTCCACTATTACATGTTAGTAGTGTCACTAATTAACTTTTAATCTCGTAGTCTAACACAGGATTTATATTATTATTGGTCTAATTTATGCAATTTTTTTTCAAGTTCATGCATAAATCACATAATTATTAAAATGTGATTAAGCTTTTTAAGCATTAAGTTCAATAAAAATTTGAATAACTTTAATTGAAAGTATAAAATTACAAAATTTATATTAAATTAATTAAAACACTACAAGGAAACGGGTTAACTGTAATGGGAAAATTAGTCATAAAAATTAAATTTTTTGGTCACAAATTATATTTGTATCTAAAATTTAGTTAGTCACTGTCCGTTACAAATATTGAGTCACTAAAAGTAATAGTAACTAATTTTGGAATCATGACAACAAATCATGATTTTAGTTACGATGAAGATGGACACAATTACTATCGTATTTGTAACGAATTTTTGCGTCACAATGATGACTATTTGTGACAAAATAATTAGACACAAAAAGGAACCTCATTTGTAACATGTATAACTCGTCACAAAAGAAATTGTTTGTGACATAAAATTTGGTTACTAATATTAAATCATTTGTGATGTTTCTTTTTAATCACAACTAGAATTTTCTGGGACTAAAAAAAATGAAACAAATACTACCATGTTGATCACAATTAAGATTATTTGTGACCCAAAAACTTGTTACAACTATTATTATCAATGATAAAACAAAAAGGTCACAAATTGAATGTGTGACAAAGTTTTTAGTCTTAAAAAAA